CTCTCTATCTCGCTCGTACGCATTAAATATGGGACCTCAATGATTCTCTGCCGCTCCTGTACATGTAGTTCAATAAACTGGCATTCCATAGGTACTCGCAATTCGTTTTATGTAAGAAATAGTACATAAAATACTTTGGTGAAGAGGGATGCCATTAGTGGCCAAGAATGGTGAAGCCTTGAGGCGCGTGCGAAAACAACAATAATCTTCTCTAGCAACGAACGAATAGACATTTTTTCACAAATTGAAAAGAATGAAGTTTTATTCGTATAATTAAGATAAATCCAAGGACACCTCAAATGTTACAATCCAGCAAGCCGTTTAGATTGTAGGCCGTAAAATAGAAACGTTAAAGTTGATATCTTCAGTTAAAACCCGCTATTTCTATTTTATAAAATGCTGATACACCCTCGTTCCACTCTCGCGGTGCAACGATACTGAAAAAAATTTCTGTGGGCACCCATACTCCATTAAGAGCAGCTTTGTTATATTAGGATAATACAGCTTTGAAGGTAACCATTTGGCATATTTTATGACACAACTCGTAAAAATGATTTATTTGAATCGATTGATAATTTGCAGTAACATTATGTTACATGTTTCTATAAAAATGCACAAGGATCTTATGTAAATGAAGAGAGTTTATAGTTATAAGCTCTTAAAAATGTTTCAAGCGGCAAAATATATCGTACCAGTTTCTTAAATTGTACTACACTTTTGCAAATTGTTCCCTGCCGAAAAGGATTAGATTTCCATTATTTGTGGAACAGATGTGTGAAACAAAATATCGTGACGAATTGAACGTTTCGTTTAGCCAACTTACACACAGTAGAGAACGTAAATTGGGAACATAGGCGGGACAAAAGATTACCCTAACTTAAGGTATCCGTCTAAATCGAAAAAATTCACTTCGAACTTAAAAAAAACGAATCAAAAATTTGTAGCACATTATCATAACTAATGACAATATTTGTTGAAGTAAAAAATGTCACATATAGTTTAGTGAACTATGCATCCAATTTGTGCATTGGTTGCACCTCACCATATCCCTTACAAGTTATTCCGGTATAATTTAACAAACCTGATGATGGTACAAATTACCCAACTGGTGTGATGGGCGCATTGTATGCATCATGTATAATACACCCATTGTATACGCGTATACAATGGTGAATATATATGTCTCGATATTCACGTATACAATGTATATAATGTATACAATAGCAAATCGTAGTTCAACTACTAGCATACAGTGCTGGCGGAAGTCCCTTTCCCTTTTAGATTCCCATGTGTTCGAGGAAGAGAGAGAGGGGGAGAAGCGGGCACCACTTGTGTAGAAAGAGTGCGCCACACACCACGTTGCCTGGCACAACAGTGATGAAAGCCACAGAACACGACTGTATCTTGCTGCAACGCCTTGTTTTTTACGCTTAAATACACATTTCTGTCAAATCTGTTTAGCGTCAATTCCAGGTCAATCCTAATGGTTCTCCGATTCTAGGTGGAACTGAAAGTTAAGGATAGGTACAAATTCTGCAACATTGCATTATTGGTTTGACTGTGAAAGCAAATTATAAATAATGAAAAAATATATAATATTTATTTATATACGTATACAAAAATAGTTTTGAATAAATTAGGAACAACAAACGAACCCAAGTTCATCGATTTCTTTCTTCTTGGGCCGTCCGACCATATTTTGTCGATTCACTGTTCACCAACTTTCTGACGTTTCCGAATAAACCTAACCTCACTTATTCTATTCTATACATTGTCTTCATCATTGTATACTTGTATTCATTGTATACACAATATATGCATTGTATATATCGAGACGTAGACAGTTAATGCATACGCGCAAACGCCCATCACTGGGTGTGATTGAACCAGATTGTTTGATTTCTTTTTGAAAACTAAGGTTAGGCTAAATTTTACGTGAATAAAATCTAGTAAAATAACCATTAATTACGAAAATTGCCTGAAAGCGATTATTTGGATACAAAGGCATACCTAAGGTTATATAATACTGTGAGGTCATCTTTACAGCAACCAACTTTTAAGAACTAGAGCCGGTTATAGGATTTGGTTAAAAATGTTTGGATGCTTAAGGGGTCAAATAGACCAACTAGATGGCGTTATAAATCTACAGTTCAGTAAATATTGAGGTGGTACAATAATTTAAAAAACGGTACAAATACAGGACTGTCGCCTAAGCATATTATTAATTTGCTACTTATTTTCAAATACCTATTTAAAAGGATTCGAAGTTCCTATAAAGCATATTTTGAATTTCTGTACCTCAACCCATACTTATTTCAGGCGCACGTCAAGTATGTCGAGTAACTTAGGAATCTCGGTGGTGCTGTAAATAGTAAATTACGAATTTCCCATATAAAAACATTATTAGCAATAGTACGTAGTACAACATTGATCATCTTTTTAGATAGGTTCTAAAAAATACATCCAACCAAGGATGTGTCTATCCCCTTTTTCTTAAAACACTGGTTATTACTTGTTCACATATTTTACTACAAGTTATCTGATATTTTGTTAAATAATAAAATATCTCAATACATTTTAAAGTAAATTCTGCATTCGAAAACAATCCAAATGCTTATTTATAAACTGGTACCAGTGCGTGGAGGGAAGATTCTATAGTGTGGTAGAATGGGGCCCATTTATTTACGTATTTACAGTACCACTAGACATACAGATCTGTTTTCCAATGATAGAGCTTGCATTGCTAAGTCAGTACCACAGAGACTTAACACCGTTCTAATCTCTTATGGCAGCGAGTACCGACCAAGAGAATTCAAAACTAAATTTGTTGCTGAAAATAGATAAAATCTGCGACCATAGAAAATAATGATTTACTTTGGCTATATCCATCTTCGAAGTGTATCCGGCCCTTATGCTCCAGCATCATTTATTAGAGCAGTCGAGGAGCGCCACGCTCATATACTTAACGCTCAAGTCAAAAACACTTAGAAGCAACTCCTGTGTCTCTTTCTGTATTTATTTATAAGATACCTGCAAATTAGTGGCACTGTCATGTGACGCTTGTATAAACGCACTCAAATAGCTATAAAACAAATACCACAACCCACTTGTTGAATCGGTTTATTAATATAGACACATATTGCACAGACATAACTAAATATACCTAAGCGTAGATACATGTACATCACAAATAGGACTCAGGAAGGCAAAAAATAGATTGGCGAAGTATTGCTAAATCTGATTAAAAGCATGAAACTCTAGGACTAAACAGGTTTTGCTGGCTAGATGCATATGTAATAAATAACAAAAATCGGACTTTTTTGAAATAAACATAGACAATGTTCCGCAATCATTCTCTAATACCGCAAGTTTCTCGTTTTGAGGAGTTTTTTTCTATTGCATCTATACATTTCAAACAGTACCATCGCGAAACGTCCACAAAGTGAAGTAAAAAGTTTACTGTGTACGACAGACAAGCGCGATAAGTGTGCGTGTTAGAAAGAGATAGGAGCCGGCTGGTCGACGAAGGTAATCACCACATTGCCTAGCAACGGTGAAGCAGAAGGACGTGCAATCTGCCGCGTTGCCAATATGTTACACCAGAAAATGTTCGCACAGGATTCTACAACAAGTGAGATTACTGTGAAACCCAAGAAGGAGGTCTGTTCGAACATTTAATTTAATATCTTGTCATTTCGATTATAGTTGTTTATTTATGTCAATTTTGATGCAACTTAGAGTTTTAAATGTAACCAATAACGTTACGCAATACAAGTTATCACTGCCTGCGTGTAAGCAGGTGAAAGCCATATCGAAGCAGGACGACACACCACTACAACCGCTTGATGGGTACTGGCCAATATCGCTCAACTATGATCATGGAGGTGGACTTCCCTTGGAATGTACAAGATGCGGTGTTGTCAAACGTACCAATGATGCAATGTTGCAGAATTTGGGGCTAACCTGACCCTTCATTTAGACCTAAAATGGAGCGTCGTTAGGACCGATCCGGAATCGACCTTAAACATGTAGGCTCAAAATAAAACCATTATTTGAGCGTAAAGAATAAAGTAACGCATACTGTCAATATGCATCTTAACACGTTCGCGACGTAGCCGTGCGCGGGTCTGTTACCGCACAGCCGTGTTTTATTTTATATTTGTTTGACATGTAAATATAGTTTTATTTGTGATAAATAAAGTTTTTTATACTTGTTTTGAGTTTTTTGTGATTTTTTGTTGTTTTTTAAAATCTACCATCGGTGGTAAACGACGGCTGTGACTAATATTTCTTTCTCAGGGACGTCGTGTACCACCGGTGGCCACCATGTAAAAGGTAAGTTTATTACTAACTATTTCTCTTTTGTCTCAGATAATTAGCTGGGAGCAATGAAAAATCGAACAGCAAGGATTTTACAAGCTGCAGCGGGGCTGCTAGGAGATGTACATGATCCACCAGGGCCATCATGCTCCACCAGTAATGTTGCATCTTCAAGGTCATCTGATACAGACAATACTATAACTTCACTTCCAGACAATATTATAACTTCACCTTCTCATTCTATCCCTGATTCATCGTCATCTCAAAATCAAACGAATGAACCTCAGAATAGTGTAAAGCAACCATAGCGAATTCGTCCAACGAAATATTTAGCAGATTTACCTCGAGATTTAATTTCATCAGGTGATGAAAGCGAACTATTTGCTGATTCTGGATCATCTTACCAGCCCTCAGATAATCAAGAAAGTGATGACGATGATCCTGCTGAAGAAAGTGATGAGCAATCTAGTGATGACGAGAATCAACTTGCTGCAACCATAGTAAATCCTGCAGCAGCAACAGCAACTAATCCTGCAACAACAAATGATACCTGGGGACCTTGAGGACAAGTCACCCATAATTTTCCTTTCACTGCGCAATCTTCCTCGCAGATCAGAAGTACGTAAATGGACTGACACCAACAAAAAAGAAATTAGCACTTTTTTTGAGTTCTCTTAATTATGGGAATAAATCAACTTCCTAAAATGCGCTTATATTGGTCAAAAGATCCAATGTTCAGAAGTGAACTTATTTGTAAAAACATTAGACGCGACAGGTTTGACTTATTGCTCAAATTCATTCATTTCTCCGACAACGAGCAAAATATAGGAATCCCAGATAGATTGGCAAAGATAAAAGAGGTGTTGGATCGGATACAGAAAAACTTTCGGGCCACTTTCACACCACCACAAATAGTGGTTATTGACGCAACCATGGTACCATGGAGAGGTAGACTGGTTTTTCGCCAATACCAGCCGGCCAAAACGCACAAATATGGCATCAAGATGTACAAACTTTGCACAACCGACGCGTATACTTTCAATTTCGAAATCTACTGTGGTAAAAATGAAGACATAACTCGACATGATTGACGCGTAGTTGTCGTTTGAATAAATACGTGCCAATTAATTCCTTACCGCCACAAATCTAGCTTTTGAATGTCAGAAGTACTGCTAGAAGAGATTTTGTCTGAAATCAAAGAGATTCGACAAAACATACCGAAACAAGAGTCACAGTTTACGTTCAGCATCATTATCGTTGTCTTCATTTTAATACTACTATCTTTTCGACTTATAAATTTAACATTAAGATGCCAAGGAATTCGAAGAATCGCCAACAGAACAGACGTAGAAGAAGAGGAACTACAGGATCTAGTAACAGAATAAGATTATCTACTCAAGTTCAGAGTTCCCGAATGTTAGGATTTCTACGATTAACAAGATTGATATTAACATCCCTACCAATATCCGGATTTTCGACTCTTACATCTCTATTTGATGTAGCATTTTCAATAATTGCTACTTTTGGTATCACAGTAATGTTGATGGAAAGTTTATTGAATGAAGGTAGATCATTATACACGGATAATTTTTATACCAGCGTAAAATTAGCGGAATACCTTTTACAAAATGACACTTACCTTTGTGGGACTTTGCGATCTAACAGAAAAGGAAATGCGAAAGAACTTTGTAAGAAAAAGCTAAAGAAAGGTGAAATGTATGCGATGGAGAACGCTAATGGTGTGCGTGTTTACAAATGGTTAGATAAAAGACCGGTTATAATGCTCAGTACTTTACCTCAACATATGGATGAATTAGTTACTACGGGAAAGAAGAACAGGAAAGAAGAAGATATAAAAAAGTCACAATGTATAATAGATTATAACAACGCCACAAAAGGTGTAGATATATCCGACCAAATGTCTGCATACTACACTTGCCTAAGGAAAACAATAAAGAGGCATAAAAAGGCAGTATTTGAAATAATTTTTCTTGGGTTATATATCAGAAAAACGCCAAAAAGAAAATCGATATGCTAAAATTCAGAGAACTTCTAGTACAATCATTACTCAATGATAAAGACGAAGGTGAAGAAATAGAGGATGAACAAGACGTACCGATACCGAGGAAAAACGCAAAATCTACACATATCATGAAGAAATTTGAAGGCAATGCTAGACAGAATAGAAAACGCTGTATTTCCTGCTACGACAAGTTACAAAAAGAAAAAGGGACAAAGGAAGCACGAGCCAAAACTAAGAGAGTAATGACCTACTGCGATGAATGTGACAATAAACCTGCAATGTGTTTAGAATGTTTCAACGAAAAACATCCTTCAAAATACTTTTAAGAGTTTTTCTTCGTTTATCTTTTTAGTTTTATTCTATGACTCTTGTAGAGAAGTTTCAGTTTAGATTTTTTTTTGTGTTATCAGAAGTTAAGATTTAGTTCAGTAATGTTAAACTATATACTAGGTGTTGCCTAAATAAAAAAAATATGAATATATTTCTAAAATTCTGTTTTATTAATAGGTGAACAAAAATCATTAAAAAAAATGTAAAAGATGTCCGATTTAGAACCACATGTACCACGGGTCATGTACCACCCTTACGTACAGCCGTAACTTGTTTTCCGAGCTTTCTATACAGCCGTTGCGTTTTTAAATAGAATTAGATATAGAGGTCATAGTTGTACCACATGTGGTAGATGACGGTTGCTGGAATCAGGCGTCATGTACCACCGGTGGTGCATGATGTCGCGAACGTGTTAATTCATGGAGGTGGTGTAACAAATTGGCAACGCGGCGGATTTCCGCGTCAGCGTTGTTAAGCAACGTGGCGATGAGCTTCGCTATTCAGCCGCATTCTATCTCTTTCTAGCATATGTGCCTATAAACACTTCTCTCTCGTACACATTGAACTCAAGCCGTCAGACAAATTTGGTTTTCAGTGTATAATTTGACGGAGCATAATCACAAAGCAGACGTTGCCTGGAAAAAATCTCCAAGAAAAAGAATAATTAACGCAGCTGTATCCTAACAAGATGAAGCAACGTATAATTTCATAAGCTCAAGCCAAGTCCATTTTTCCCTTATCCCACCACACAGCCTAAAAAAATGTATACACGCGCAAATAGGACATAACATTTGCCCTGATCATATCAATTATAATACGTGTAAATATAGATTTACAATAAATAGAATATCACATATAAAGATAACAATCCAGTTGTAGAATTACACGAATTTACCCTGAAATTATGGCAGAATTCCATAAGCTTCTAATGAAATTCCATACTAAACAAAGTAAACAGTTTATAAAATTAAATTCAGTTATTATCACATTAGCCAAAAGTTTCATCCTTGAGCCGAGTAAAAATATTACCAAGGGCATAATTGATAAATACTTAAGGCATAAACACACTTTAATATCAGCAGTAATAAGAGTCTTGTGTAGTTATGCCTTTAGTAATGCATAAAAATTCTTCTGCATCAAACAGATTGACACAATTACTACCGACAAACAAGAGAAACATGAGCCCATCAATAAAATATCTGAAGAGGTTCGTAATAGTGGGTACACATATTAAAATTTCCGACATATGAAAGCTATGTGCTTGAGAAAAGACACAAAAACGTTATAATATAGGAAACCATCTCAATATCAGCAAAATGTATATTTTGTACTGAGAAGACTGTAGAGCAAATGGTTTGAATGATGGAATTGCAGAGAATGGCTATATTCACAAATATTCAATCATGAATACAATTTTTCTTTCAACAACCTATATATATGATACATGCGATATTTGCGGCAAATCTAAATTCAGCTACAAGCAGATTTTTCAGATTTAAAAATACGGTGACAAACAGAATATCATAATCATCTTTCAGAAGCAAATAACGGATACTTCCTCAAATCAAATGACAAAAAAAAGTTCAGGGAAAACTTATTGCAGCAAAAGGTTATTATGATTGATCTACAGAAATGTTTGTCCACCCCGAATCTGCACAATCTCCAAAGTTTTTATTCTATACAATTATGAACATTTAATTTAACCATACATGATTCTACAACAGAGAATATCTATTGTGTGATACCTGAGTTAACAATATGGTAAGATAACTGTTCTTGTCAGAACAGAAACACTAATAATGGGTTACTTTTGGGCATTACACACAAAACCTACCCTCCAAATTGTCAATCACAAATTTTTGTAAAGAGGTCATACACAACTTGAGGCAGGCTATAAAAAAGAATCCCGCTTTAAATTATGACAGCATCGGAAAAGAACAGTCAAGGTTGTAAATAGAATGCCAAGGAGCACCATATGTAAATAAAAAGATTTTCTCATCTTTCAGGTGTCATATGCAGGTCCGAAGAAGTATGCAATCCTGACATTTTGAACCATAAAAAGAACTTCAACGAGAATATTTCATAAGTTGATTTGAACAAAACAACGCGCCGTAAAGTGGACTACTCTGTGAACCTAAAATGCATAAAGGATTGCCCTAAGTCATTATATGAGAATTAGTATGACCATCTACAAAAACGTCTTATTTGGGTTCCTGAAAGGTTCCATCAGTTTTATCAAGGTTTCAATCACGCCAAATTAGGTTGAGACAAAAAAATTACACAAAATTTATAAATCAGCAGAATTACCTCCAACTGCTTGTTTTCATCCACCAAACATAGGGTAGAATACCCAAATGTCGGCTATCTAAATGTTGGCACTATTTCTGGATTATATCGAATATTCAAGTTATCGCTGGTACTGTGGTGTAGCAACAATATAACTAATATCAAACGATTTGGCTGCATTGTGACAGACTAGTTGTGGGTGATATACTGTTTCGACCGGACGTGCATCATCAGTGTCGTTTGGAAATAGTGAAATCTGTAAGGAGGTAGGTATCTTCTCCTGCATAATTTTATCACTCTAAAGCAGATAAAAGTGAATATTTAATGTTTGTCACATTGTCTCATGATAAGAAAAATATAGGTGTATATTTTATATATGTTGATGGTTTTTTTTTCTTAATAAGGTCTGAAAAAATAGGGTACCAAGTAACGGCACGAAATAATGATTTTTCATAATGCTGATACCGTGAGCCAGTGAAATTGATTGTTGATAGTTTTCACATACTAATAATTGGCACCCTTTTTTTCAGCTTTATTTTCAAAATGTCGAATGAAAACAGTATCAATCACCCAGATAAATCGATCCTGGAAGGAAAGTGAGGAAATGGTGTACAAAGAAGTAAGTGTGAATTTTTTCAGTTTGTATTTAGTCATACATGTCTGTTAGTTTGGGAGGCATTTGTAGGGTCATATTTGATGATGCTTTATTCTTTACTTGGATGCTTCAGTATATTTGTAATACTTCTGAGAAACTGATAATTGAGTTATTCAATCAATTTTCTTTGTAGAAAAAAGATCGAATTATTAAAATAATGAGGGTACCAAGATTTGACTCAGTTATTTTCCAAAGTTCGCTTTCTTGGCACATTTATTAAAGTATGTGTGCAAACCCGTCTCATCCAACTATTAGTAAACGTTTTTCATTTTTTAGGCAACAGTCTTCCACCTACTCGAATGAGACGCTACAACTGGCACTCAAAGATGTTCATGCTGGTGAATCAAAGAAATCATCAGTTGCCCAGATGTACGGGTACCTAAAGCCACCATCCAGTTTCGACTGAAAAACAAGTTGGCTAGAGCAAATAGAGGGCGCAGAACATGCTTGACTGCAGATAAGGAAACTAAAATTGTTTATTGGATACTGGAAAATGACCGAAAAGGCTTTACAAGAAGAAAGATTGACCTCCAATTAGCAGTAATGTGCTTCTTGCATAATTATGAAAGGAAAAATCCATTTACGTTTAACTTTCCCGGTATACACTCGTACAAGTTATTCATTAAGATTAAGCGACACCCACAACTCAGTGAGCGTAGGGGAAGGCGGGGCAAAACCGGGTAACACTCTTATTTCCATATCCGGTGGCGCCACCTGCAAGCCAACGCTCCAACCTACTCGTGACACTCACCAGTTGGTGAAATAATTGCATGGCGTCAATATCGAAGCTATCGCGATTTTTTTTAGAAAACGTGTTTTTTAAGGTATGTGATCTTATTTTTATATATTTTTATCGTTTCTACAGGTACAGTCCACTGAGGACTAGGTTGACAAAAGTTTTTTAGGTTTAGCATGAAACGATTGTATTTTACTAAGAGGCTAGGCGGAGCAGTGCCCCGGGGCCCTCGAATTCTTACCAGAAGGTACATCTTCATGGCAGCGGTTTTATCGCTGGTGATAAGGCTTAGGGACCCTAAAAAGCTGAACTGGTTTACCTTTTTGGCGTGACTGTCGGTTTCTGATGTCGTGTGTCGCGACAAAAATTAAAAACAAATATATGCCGGACCAAAATGTAAGGGCCATAATAATTACTTAAAAAATATCAAAAATAATTGAAATAAAAATCGGCATTTGCACAATTAACTGCACGGATTTTTATCGAAGTCTTTCGATTTTTTTGAAGTGTGCATATCTTTTGGAGACCTATAGTAGATGAATTTGATGAACATGCGAGGTCGGAAAAATTGTTTTAAAAAAAGTCATTTATTGTTAAACTTGTAGGGTACTTTTTTTCGAGTGCAGATATCTTCGTAAAACTAATTTATTCGAAGTAATTTGCACTCGAAAAAAAAGTACCCTGAAAGCTTAACAATAACAATACATAATTTTTTTTAAAACAATTTTTCCGACCTTGGATGTTCATCAAATATCATCTACTATCGGTCTCTAAAAGATATGTCAACTTCAAAAAAATCGAAAGACTTCGTTAAAAATCCGTGCAGTTTAATTGTGGAAATGCCGAAATATACATATCATATTTAAATGGGACACCTCGTGCTACCACGCGTCAGATTTCGAAAAAAAATTACTAGAACCAGCGATACAGCGACAGCATGAAAAGGACCCTAGAAAATCTCAATCGAACTCCACTTTTGAAAATTTCTCCCATTTTCAAAATAAATATGACAGGTGGCAACACGACTTTAATCATGGCAACTCAGTTTCAGATAAATTCGAAAGTTATAAATAGGGAATTCCCCTAAATTATTTCTGAGGGTTGACCCGGTTGACAGTGTTATCAATTTGACGAATATCAATATGTGCGTTTTATTATTTATCGATGTGCGTTTTTGTGATTCGCGATTGTGAACTCGAGTCAAGATTTTTGTCAAGAGTGGTTAATGTTGTATCAGGAGTAAGTAAGCTTATGACAATATTCTTTTGTACTGGCCTAAACAAAGGTTCAATTTTATTTGATTTTAGTACCACTCATATTGATATAAATCTATATATTTCGGCTACTGATTGTATAGCGCAAAATACCGTGGAAAATACAAGTCACCTGCAATAGGTATATTCATTCAGGCGCGAGGAGATTATTTTTTGTCTCCACCGTGGAAACACTGTCCGCGATAAAATATAAAATGTTTGTCGGGGATTCCCCAACGACGTATTGTATCGTAACATTACGTTCCTCACTCCTTTTACTTTTAACGTTGTCAGTGCATAGTGAGTTACTCACGCTTCTGGAAGTACGTCTGGAAAAAATATTTCTATTGATAGTGACTCGAATAATATGGTAACTGCAGTGTTGCATGAGATTCCTACTGAAGAAGATGCAACAATTATTGCAGTTGAAGATACCTCCGCTGCCGATCATGTGAACGTGAATGATGTTTGTATGGCACATAAGAACATAAAAACGGAGCATTTGGAGGAACCACATACCTCTAAATTTTTCGAAAATGTGTACGATAAATCGTCTTATGACTTGGGAAACTTCACGAACAAAATACTAAATGATAATGAAAGACGTCAAATTCTTGATAATGGACCTTTACAGCTTTCGGGACCTTTTCCAACTGATATCAACCAGAATAATAGGTGTTTTTCAAAATCATACTACGTTTCAAGTTCAAAATATGGACCAGTTAATCGTTTTTGGTTGTGCTATTACAAAATACTAGACGCTGCCTATTCTCAACCCTGCTGGTTATTTGCTTCACAGAGGAATAATGTCTGGTGTACGGGAATTCGTGATTGGAAACATTTATCAGAATGAATTTTGGAAAAAAAATGATACTAATACTATCGACAAGGAACTTGAAAATGAAATTCGCAAAAAAACATCCTTTTGGAAAATGGTTCTTCAAAGGTTATTTGATATCATACTTACCCTAGCAAAGAGTTCTTTGGCTTTGAGAGTACATTCGCCCGATATGATTACAATTTGCGGCAAGTTCTGGATATTCCCATAGGTAATAATAATAATTTTATTTTGTTTTAATATTACTCATAATTATTAACTTTTTAATGTAAGGGCTGTTTAAAATTGTGTTTTTTATGTTTTTAGGATCTACAAGATATCTGAGTGCAACGATTCAGAATGAAATGATTGAGAGCTTGGGGACAAATCTCGAAACCCATCTACTAGAAGACATTAGGGCGTCACCGTTTTTCGCCATCATAATGGATACGCCACAGGACATATCAAAGGTAGATCAGCTAAGCATTGTTGTGGGGTATGCAGTAATAACTAGATCGGAAAATAGACAGACAATTGATATAGAAGTAAAAGAAGTGTATCTAGGCTTTTATGCAGCCATCAAACATGGCGCAGCAGATTTAGTTAATCAAGCAACTACATTATTTAAAGAGAAAAATATTGATTTAAAAAAACGTGCGGGGCAAGGTTATGATGGAGCCAATGTGATGAGTGGTGTGTATAATGGTGTATAAAAACATATTAATGATATCCAGCCTAACGCGGAGTACGTACATTGTGCCACTCATAATTTAAATTTGGTGATAAATGATGCCATTAGCAGTTGTGTGGAAATACAGAATTTTTTCGCAACGTTGCAAGATTTGTTTAACTTTTTCGGAAACAGCATCAAGCATTGGGATCTACTGTCAAAATTCACAGGCGAATCGACACCACTCTAAAAAAACTAAATTCCACTAGATGGTCCAGTAGAGTCAATACAATATCTGCAATAAAACTTCGTTTTTTTGATATTATCAAAGCATTATCAGAAATAGTTCTAAAGAGTCGTAATAAAGATGAGCCTAATGAAGCAGAGAGTATTCAAACAAAAATGGTAAATTTCGAGTTCGTGTTGCTTTGTGAATTCATGCACAGTGTATTGACTGACATCAATTATGCATCCAAAATTTTACAAAAATGCGACACCAATTTGGGCGAGGCAAGTAAAGCTCTAGCAGAGATCAAAGAAAAGTTGCAAGTTTATAGAAATGATTTCGAATCATTCAAGTGCAAAGCCTGTGAAACTGCAGAGAAATATGTAATAGATACCCATTTTCAAGAAAAAAGGCAAATGAAAGTTAAAAAGCATTTCGACGAATTAACTGCTGATCACCGATTTTCAAACCGAGAAGAAATATTTAAAATTGAGATTTTCAATAATATACTTGATAGATTAATAGCTCAATTAAATACATGGTTTACTGGTATGAGTGCAGTCTGTCAAACATTCGATTTTATAACACCAACATTTTTATTACATGTTGATGAAGCAACTTTATTACAAACGTGTGACGAATCCCAAAGAAAATATTCAGATATAATAGGCCCAAGCTTTTCACTTCAATTTGTTAAAATTTACCACCTACTTGCACCTCAATTAACTCAAGCATGGACTGTTCACCAATTATGTAAGGAAATAATGAGTAAATATGGAGTGCTAGAATGCGATCTAACAGAAGTGTTTACAGCAATGTTATTATTCTTTACAATTCCTGTCACTCCTGCAGCAGCTGAAAGGTCATTCAGCAAATTAAAAATAATAAAAAGTTATTTAAGAAATAGTATGGGCCAAACTCGACTCCGACATTTATCGCTAATAGCAATTGAGCAGCTTGCGTTCAAAACCGCCTATATCCATTTTTTGCATATTTCGATTTTTTCGTCCAGTTCTTCTAAGTTTGATGAACTCTACCGAATGGCATGTCCGTTGTGTTCAAAATCACCCATTTGTGTGCTTGAATTGCATCCAAAGTGGTCGTTTTGCATGAAAACCGCCTATATCTGATTTTGTGATCAAAACAGCCTATATCCAGGATCAGCTGATTCGGTGCACGCACACGTATGATCGGCTAACTATTGAGGTTAGGTGTTGGAATTTAGTACAGAAAACAAGGAGAATTATGGAGGAAGAACTTATAAGCATTGAAGAGGGAAATAAAGGCACAAGGCGCCGCAAAAAGGGTGTCACAGAAAGACAATTAAAACAATCGACCAGGTGAGAAAATGTGACTAAGCTTAAGATTAAGACTAACCTAACCTAACCTAACCAGGTGAGAACATGGTGATTAAATCTTAATGTTTCTGCTTGTAGTCATTTATAATAGTGGGTATTTTACTTTTACAGATATGGTGACTCCGACCCTGCTCTCCAGCATTTCAAGCGACCATGTAACCATAATGGAAAATCGTTCAAGTGTACTTCTGTAAGAAAACGACATATACAAGCATTAAGAAAACGTTTGTATGAAGATTCAATTAAAACTAATCAAGACATCAAACTATGTCATATGTTGTCTGTTGCACCTGTCAAGCGTAGAAAATCGGGATTGGACAATGTATGTGCAGTGAAAAATAAGAGCATAACTTTTGGGTTTGCGATAGTAAAGCAGTACGTGTATGCCAGAATTTTTTTATTGCTGCAACAGGTGTTACTCGGCAAAGAATCAAGACCATTTCGAAAGTCCTAATGGAAGGAGGAGTACCGAAAGAAAAAAGAGGCGGGGATCACAAATCACAAAAAAGTTTAAATAAGAAAGAACTTGTTCGCAGTTATATAAAAAGGTTAAAAGGACGGGAAAGTCACTACAATAGGAAAAAATCTAAAAGGATCTACTTATCTGCAAATCTTTCAGTGGCAAAATTATGGAGAATGTTTAATGAACAGTGTGCACCTGAAATACGTGTTTCATATTTTATGTTCAGAAAAGTGTTTCTAAGTGACTTCAATATTGGTTTTTCGTCTCCTGCATCAGACGTGTGTTCGAAGTGTACTCGACTCAAACAACAATATAGCATCGAAACAAAAACAGAAATAAGAAATCATCTTCTTGTGGAATATCGAGTGCATAGAAAACGTGCAAATGCTTTTTACGAATTGGCCAAGGAGAATCCAGAGAATTCTTTGAGTTTCTGCTTTGATCTGCAGCAGGTCCAGCCTTTGCCACGTACACCGATTTGCGATGCATTTTACTCGCATCAAGTAAGTTTTTATGCATTCTGTTGTGTAGAACTATCATCTATCGACCCTACTTTCTATGTATGGACAGAAGATATTGCAAGACCCGGCTCAACTGAAATCGGATCAGCGCTGTTGCATCATCTTGATTCCAAGGACTACAATGGAATCACAAATATTAGGCTTTTCTGTGGCGGTTGTGCCGGACAGAACAAGAATTCCCATATAATCCATGCATTGATGTTTTGGCTCAAAAATAGGTCCCTTGGTAGTATACGTGAGATTTCTGTTACATTCCCCGTTCGTGGACATATCTTCATGGCAGCAGATCGTTGTTTTGGTAGAGTTGAGAAATTACTTAGGAAGAATCCGGTGATAGTTTCTAAGGAAGAGTATATTAAGCTGTATAGTGAAGTTGGAGAAGTGAAAGTTATAGGGAGGGACTGGAAAATAGTTGACATTAAAGAACTCGACAGAATATTCAAAAAGTACCTGGTATTTCAGAAATAAAGAGTTTTCATTAGAAAAACAAGAAAATTGAATGGTACTGAAAAGATAGTAACAACGCATCTTTATTATAGAGATGTGAATGGTAAAGGGGAGACATTGTTAAAAAAAGGAAAATCTGACCAAAACATATCGCTTAACGAGATTCAATCAAGAAACTGTTTGCCTGATAAGAAGAAAAAAGCCTAAAACATCTATTGCAAGAACACTTTGGTCTAGAATGGGAATTGAGGAAGGATTTAGAATGGTATAAAAAACTTCTCGCTCCCACCATCGATGGCGCTACAAGCGAGGAGGAAGATGTAGAATGTGACTGTCTCGATGAGGAACAAGCACTCCATGTTTAACCTTGTAGAATTAATTCAATTAAATAATATGTTTTTCAGTTTTCTAATTTTTATTCCTCATATTTGACCTCTTTTGGAACAAAACCACCTATGTCCAAATTGTTTTATTTTTTTTTAGAGACCCAATCATAAACATGAAATTATTGAACAAAATTGGATCAATACGTTAATATACACATAATAGAGATTTATTGCGTCTCATAAATATAAGGGCGATTGTATCAGAAGTTTTTGCCTTCTTTATTAAAACGAATATAGGCGGTTTTGAACGCAAGCTCCTCAATTGAGAACAAAATCGCATCAAGTCTGGATTTAACCGAAGTTATTGATACTTTTGCGAAAACTAAAGCTAGGAAAAGATTGTGATTATAATAGCTATTTAATCAGTTGGTAGGTCCGATCTTTACGTAATAAACCCTTGAATCTTTTCTATTTCGTTTTATTGCCCAATACCTACTACAATTATCAAAATAATTGTAATTTATGTTGTTAGTGTTCAATATTTTTATTACCTGCCTTGCAATGCATGAAAAAGAGCTGATGATAAAGTAGCTTAGCATTTTTAAAGTATTTGTATATTTAATGATTTTACTTCATAAAACCTTACCAGTTTTGATAGCAGTGGGCCCCATTTTTTTATTTGCCCCAGGGCCCTAAGTTACCTAGCTACGCCACTGATCTGTAGTCAATTTATTTTCATAAAATAATTGAATTATAGGTTATGTTTTTAATCTTTGGTCTGCTTTGTCTTCGAACTACATTTGATGAGGCAAAACCGGGTAGAGGCAAAACCGGGTAGTACCCGGTTATGCCTCTTATAGTATTCTCCATATACTTTTTTTATTTTTGCGAAATAAGACCTTGCACAACCTTTTGTTTTAGGCTGCGGTATGGTGCGTAGCTACCAGCGAAATACAAAGCGTCAAAGCTGGTTCGAAAGTGACATGCTAAGAGCAATTGAGGCAAAGTGGAACTATGGGGTATAAAAAATCCGCAGATACTTTTAAAGTTCCTCAAACTACTTTAGAAGACCGTATAAAGAAGTTAAGAGGGGGCACATCCTTGGAGAAAGCTGCTAGCAAAGGTAGGTATCTACCTACTATGTATTTTTGTATTAGCAAAAGAAGTTTTTTGTATGGTTCGGTTAAAGACAAATGTGTGTTTTTTGGCCTAAACAAGAAAGAGAACTAGCAGATTATGTACAGACCATGTAGAGCAGATTATTTGGACTAACCAGAATTGAACTGAGACGTTTGGCATATCAGTTGGCAGAGAGGAATAATATACAGCACAATTTTCATCACAAAAGGGCAGGGGTCGATTGGCTGATGGGATTTTTACGGCGACATCAAAACTTATCACAGCGAACTCCTGAGGCTACGTCTGCTGCGAGAGCAATGGTATTTAACAAAGTGGCTGTAGGACAGTTTTTTGATCTCCTAAGAAAGCTAATGGATGACTATAATTTTCGACCAACACGAATTTACAATGTTGATGAAACGGGTTTAACTACCATTCCTAAAAGTCAGTCAAAAATTATTGCTATGAAAGGACGACGTCAGGTGGGAACCCTTACCTCAGCTGGAAGAGTTCAGCTTATAACTGCTGTTTTGTGTATGTCAGCTGCTGGTGATTACGTGCCTCCATTTTTGAACTTTCCAAGAATGCGAATGAAAGAAGAATTACTGGACGGCACACCGGCTGAAACTGGTTACAGCTGTCACATAAGTGGATGGATGCAAACCCATATTTTTATTGAATGGATGCAGCATTTTTTAAAATATGTGAAACCAACAAAAAATGACCCAGTTTTGTTGCTTTTAGACGGACATGTAACGAATACAAAGAATCTTGAACTGATAGATCTCGCTAAGGAGCAAGGTATTATTATACTATGCTTCCCGCCCCATTGCACACACCGTCTGCAACCTCTAGATGTCAGTTTTATGGGATCATTAAGCACGTTCTATAGCCAGGAAGTAAAAACGTGGTTAAGAACAAACCCTGGAAGGGTAGTCACCCAATTTCAAGTCGGCAGATTATTTGGTCAAGCTTACGCTAGAGCTGCAGCTGTTCAAACCACCGTATCTGGGTTTTCTAAAACGTGAATCTAAGCCCCCAGGTATTTGGTGAGGCTGACTTTACTGCTGCCGAGATAACTGAGCGAAGGCCTACAGATCCAGAAGAAAACAACGCTGATGAGCAAGTTTTAGAGCAAGAAGAAGAACCTGTAGCCGGCCCTTCCCGTGAGACAACTGGGCCGAAAACAACACATCCACACGAAAACAATGCTATTGAACAAGAACCTGTAGCCGGTCCCTCTCGACGTACATCTAGGGAGACAACACCAGATCCACGCATATCTAGGGAGACAACACCAGATCCACGGATATCTAGATCAAAACGTTTCAAGTGGATCGGCCAGGGAAAAAACGCCAGAAAAAAATCCAATATCATTAAATGAACCGAAAGCTCCAATGAAGTCTGCATATTTGGCTGTGTCTCCTAAGGACATAATGCCACTTCCTCAAAGCTACAGGCAAGCCACGACCACACAAAGGCGACGCGGGCACCATACAAAAAAGAACTAGAGTCTATATTGCTGCAAAAAAGTAAGAAGACCAAAGGAGTTAAGAGAAATATTATTTATAAAGGTAAAGCTCAAGTAAAAAACAAGAAAACAAAAAAGTCTGCCGACTATACGAGCTCCGAAAAAGACTATGCGTTTATTGCGAAGAAAAATACTCCATGTCCACAAAAACTGATGGCTGGGTAAAATGTACGTCTTACGAAAACTCCGCCCATGAAGGTTGTACAGGTTGGTTGGATGACGATTTGAACGAGTTCCAATGCGACACGTATCTAAAACCACTTTAAATCAAACTCAAAGTATACCCGATTTTGCCCCACATGGCATACGGTTTTGCCGCTATCAATACCGTATTTTTCAACATTTTTTTTAATGTTATTTTTTAGTTACCAGACGTTTTTTTTGATGTTTTATAGGTTAAGTTTGTGTATTAATGGTCAAAGTTTGTAGTTGAGCAATTTTTGGTTATAAATAACAAATATTTAACGAGATACGATAGGTTTTCCTTAGCTACCCGGCTTTGCCCCGCCTTCCCCTATTGCTGAAGGAATTAGGGGAAGTACGTACAAAATGACATATACGGACAAAACGACACATTAGTGATATTTAAAAAACTGCGCAGTATAAACTGTCAAAAGTTAGACAAACAAGAAGCACCTACACCAGAAATATACCATTGGACTTTTGAGAGTCATGTTGACATTTGTGTTTCGAGGTTGGAAAGAAATTTGTTAGTGGTCATTTGTTTTTTGTTTTTCAGTAAGTTTTCTTTTGTTATTTTACTGTCCTATAATTTTATATTTCGAAGCATTTTGTGTTTGAGGTGATCGCGTAGAATTTAAAACATTATTGTCACTGCAACAAGATTATTCTTCGAATCGTAATATTTTTTGAGGCTATGTACAAAATGACATACAACCATTATGGACAAAACTACATAATGTGTCATTTTGTCCGTAGAGATATGGTGGTAAGAAAATTTTTTAACACGTTCGCGGACAGTACGGCTATAACCGTCATATTGTTTTCCCTAATACAGGACATGGCGGTTATAGCAGTCAAGTCTATTTCTTAATAAAGGCACGACGGCTTGAACCGTCACAAATTCCATGTAGATTGATGGATTAGCCAACTAAATGTCCTGCTGGAACATACGCCAATCAGAAAAATGCCCCGTGAAAGGCGCATATTCAAACACGTTTACAATTTTATGCGTGTCTGTTCTTGTATTGTTTTGACGGCTATAGCCGTTTAAAATTGCGTAAGTGCTCAATTATTTGAAGAATAATTGTCGTTCTGAGAGGTCGCTTTTAGGTTAGTTATAGTATATGTGTGCGAAAAAGAATGTAAATCGGTGAGTATTTTATATTTTCTAGTTCATTTTATTTGTTGTAGATGTTTAGGCGTTTGTGTAAGACGTCTAGGGTTCAGGATATTTATGATTATCAATTTTAGGCAATGTCCTGGTACGAAAAAAACCAGGCATATCTTCAAAAGCTTCATGACGAGATGCTTGCAGAAAGCGACGCCGACGGCGAAGATGGAGATATGCAACTATTTGAAGACTCAGCTTCGGAGCCGGAGGAACACCGAGACGATGGAACGTTTAATGGGGATCACGATTACGCTCCTGGTTCTGGAGAGGATAGCGACAGCGAAAGTGAAACGGAAGAAGTTGAGGGTGACGAAAATGGGAATGTACAAGAAAGCGAAGAAGCTCTCGACTCAACAGGTTTGTGGTACGAAGATGTAAAACCGATGCGGGTTTTTGGTTTCGATGGTAGCAAGTCAGGCCCGGCAAACGTCGACGCAAATACTTCTCGTTTGGACGTATTCAAGAAAATGTTCACTGAAGATATATTTGATATGTTAGTAACGTCTACTAATATCTACGGAAAAAAACTTATGCGAATCCAATAGACCTTCTATTAGGCACAGACGTATGCTGAATTGTCGAGAAACTGACAAAACAGAAATGTCTAAATTTTTGGGTATTTGCATACTACAGGCCCAAATAAAGGAGCCCAGTATAAGACATATGTTCAGCGCAGCAGCTGCTTGTACTATCATCCGATATTTTCTTATTCTATGTCTGGGCGTCGCTTTGAACAATTGCTAAGATGCTTTAGTTGCTACGAGAACGCAGACACAGATAAAGATGCGAAGAAGAACAAGTTGGAAAAAGTTTCTGGTTTAGTCAATTTAGAGAGATATATAAAAGAGATCTATCTACAGTCTAAAACTCAAATATTCTATTTAAATCATTGAATTGAGAAAGTGATTTTGCTGGAACCACGCATATCCTAAAACTGTCCGCGAACGTATTAAGTAAATCTACGTAAATCTTTTTAATTTACAGAATGGCAATCTCGTCTGGAAAATTCACTTTTGAGAGTTGGCTCTGAGTCACAGATATATGCTTTAATTTTAATTTAAAGCATATCCGTCAAGCATCTAAATTATTATCACCATAACGATTGTAACTGAATGCAATTCCATGTTGGATGTCTTAGATGATATACAGTACTTTTCTTTAATGTCCCCACCATTAATTTTTTGAACATATGGAATTAACAAATATTATAAGGGCAAGAAAACGATATATCACATGAATATGGGGGATATTCTATTTAATAATGTTACAAAATGCATATCAAAGAAAATCCTATCGATATCATGAGAATTCGTATCAGTTGGTTTTCTATAGCTTACAGAATAAAATAACAAGTCTTGCCAAAAAACCTTCATCTTAAGTATAGTACGTCGGATATACTACTGCTACAGCTATGACACAAATTATGTTAACACACAACTATACTATACTATCCAATAATACTGCTGTTCATAGAACGTGTTTATAACTAACGTGCAGTATAAGATGCATAATTATTTATCACTTACGAGTCATAAGTCACTCCCTTCGAATAAGCAAACGTAAATCTTATGTTTCAACAAATAATATAACCTATAATCAAAAATGCTAAGAATTACTTGAAAGTAACTTTAAGAGATAAATCTAACAAGATATTTTTGAATCATCAATTAACAAGATTTTGATAGCAAAAATAGTGTCAAATAGAATAGAAAAGAGTGGATATTTATTCATCTGTAACCTTCAGTATTACATTAAGATGATCATAACAAAAATATAGTCTTTAATTCCTTAATCTTTCGTCAAAATTAGATTCTTCTAATGTCTTGGTTTGAAACTCGAGCTGTGGAAGTATATGTAGCATTCCTTTTACAACTATTATTTTCATCTAATTGCTATTATTTATAAAAGGTTCATTCTTTGACTGTTTGGATATGATCTGAATAGCTGGGGTAGTTTTTGTCAAATACACATTGTTATATAAAATATTTGGGATTTTCGATACTTCGTATGCATATTATAATTACTGCAGGTATACTTTTCAGCCTTATATGCTTACTTCATGAGATTTGGCTGCAGTATAGACATACTACAACATAATTGCACATCTCAGCAAGTCAACGACATTTGTAACATCGAATACAACACTAAAAAAATTGTAAAATCTATCTTCAATCCCAAATAAATACTGACTATTTCTTATCCAGCAAATATTAATTTTCATTATTAGACAGTTCTATTATTAGACTACATGCTTGGCTGCTACTTTTATGACTCTTGTATTTATGAATTACTTTCACCTCACTACTTCTTGTATCTTTGAATCATCCTTGATGAATCTTGATTTGATCGTACGATAAATGTCCTGAAATCTGGACCAATGAATTGCAATAGGTAGTTCTGACCGTGGTCTATCTAGCCGTCTTCTACGTAGTGTCTAGTAATCTGTTGAACAACACATGTGCTTTTACCGAGTTTGTTTTTGTTGAGAAACTACAAAACAATATGTTCTATTATTTTAAGAAAGAATAATAGTTTCATATATTATTTACTCATAGTCCTTCGAAAATACGCTTTTCTTCAAAATATATCGAAAAAGGCACAGCCTAAATGTAATATATCTAAGACTACAATTTGATGCAAACAGTTTTTCAATCAGTTCCTAGTTTTTGTGCGTCTTAAAAGACCGATTGCCTCAATATTCAGTACAGCTAATGAAAAATCTCGGAGAACTACATAGAAGTTTTCTAGTGCATACTAAGCTAATAATTCTCATTCTGTACTATCTACTGATCTGCTAAAAGTGCAGTTCTGGTGCAGAGCCAGATATCACAAATTAGGTACTCATAAATCTTTCTATAGAACGTACATCATTTTCCGAGAGAACAAAATAGCATTCCGATTGGAAAATTAAAATGTAATAGATTGGATCAATATGAATATTTAGGAGTCCTTGGAGGGTGAACAACTTTGGCTAACGAGTAATCTCATGCCATTGTCATATGTCCTCTAAGCTATCAAACAGGTCACAAAAATGTACTCCAAAAGAAAGAGCACTACAAAAAAGTTTACATGTTTTGTAGGTCTACAGATTAAAGAAAAGCTAAAGATTTTACAGCATCAACCGTATGATCTCTCAGGTACTTTGGAAAACTACTTTACCATGTAAATCTGCTAACATTATCGAAGAAAGTGGGTTTAAAGAATGTCTTGATTAAAACAAAAACCTTAAGGTCTATCCATATCTCTCGACATCTGCAGCACCTTTTTGAGATTCGCCAGTTCCTCTTCAGCACTAGGCTCTGCAGGAAACAGAGTCAATGTATCCATTTTTTCTTCGCTGGAGGCCACAGAGTAGATTTGGAAGTCGTCAGGGTCGCTTGCGGAGTAAATCGTCAGAGACTCTGTTTCCAGCTCTTTAGCACTCATTTCCATGTCGGAAGAGTCAGGCTCTGACGTGCTCTGAGATGGTTCAGGAACTGATTGGGTGTCCTCGAATAGAGGTGGTGGAGGGACTAATTCTGACTCCTTATTCACCTGTAAATACAAGTGCACGATTTTTGCATAGCTTTTCAACCAGGTGATATTCCATATAATGACAACCCACTCTAGCACGCTAAAGGCTAACGTGTTAAATATCTATTAGTTATTGGACAAATAACATACATTTAGTGTCTTTTTAGCAGCTCTCCCTTTGTCTCTTGACAGTGATGAAAATTACAATACAAATTACAACAAAGGACGATGAAATTCTTCATAGTGGAATTTTATTTTTTAAAGGATAAACAGAGAAATATTAAATACAGGATGTCCCAGAAGTCGGAAACGGGGGATAGGCCAAGTAATAATATCAGAAAAAGATAAAAACAATTAAGTCGGGTACTTTTCAAATTATAGGGTTTTGGAAAAATCGGAAAACTATACACCTTGTGATGATCTTTTAGTTCCCATTACTACAAATTTCAATTTTTCCTTAGATGGAGTGACGGAGAATGTAATTCTACATAAAGACAGAAAATACCACCAGTTTTATTAATTCATGGTTGTATAGTACCGCCATATCTGTGTAAATCGTACAGGAATATGCCAAAATGCACCTCATTTATGGAGAATGTAGATGCAATGTTAGTGTTGCAGCTAGGCTTTATCGTAAGAGGTAATCAAATGCTGCTCGTCATTCCGATCACCGAGTTTTTAAGAATGTGCTCCGTTTACTCTCAGAGGGACGATTCCCAAATCAAGCACATGATAAAGGAAGAATTTCCTTTCCTTACCAAGACATCGTACTACAAGCAGTTGAAGAAGACCCGAATACTGCAGTACGTCAAATAGAAGCAAGCACGGGAGTGTCCAAAAGTACAGCACACCGTATCCTGCGAAAGAACGAGCTCCACCCGTGCTACTTACAGCGAGTACAATTTGTACAACCTGGGGATTATCTTCCAAGAGTTGAGTTTTGTCAAACAATGTTACAGAGACACCGGGAAGGTCCGCAACTTTTAGAGAAAATCTTATTGGCTATCAAGTCGACATTTCAAAGAGATGGTTACATGAATCTACACCACTTACACAGTATGTAGAAAATCCACAGTTGATGAGACAAGAGAGATCACAGTATCGTTTTAACATGTGAACATGTGGACCGGAATTATAAATGGGAGAATCATTGTACTCTTTCAGATGCCAGAATTCTTGAATGTCGAAATTTATGTAGACTTTTTACAAAATCATTTACCAAATTTATTGGAAGACGTGCCACTAAGCATTTACCGAGACATGTGGTACCAGCAAGATGACTGCCCGGCGCACTATGCCCGTTCAGTTAGAGAATATCTTGATGCGGAATACCCGAACAGATGGATAGGGCAGTCTGTTACAATTTCGTGGCCAGCCCGTTCACCTGACTTCAATCCACTTTTTGTATTGGGGTCCGGTGAAAGAAAAATTTTACTCAAAGCCAATAGAAAATTTAGCTGAGCTACGGAACAGAATAACGGTAGCAGCTGAATTTTTTAATAAAGGAAGATTCGCGCGTCTGATAATCCGATCAGTTTTAAGATGATAACAAGCTTGCATTGCTGCTGAAGGGAGGCAGTTTGAACAATTATTGTGAATTTAATAAATACATTGACGAATTAATAAAAGTGGCATTACTATCTGTCTTGCTGTCACTACATAGAATGACACTGTGTGTCATCTCATCTAAGAAAAAATAGAAATTTGTAATGGGATCTAAAAGATCATCACAGGGTGAATATTTTCCGACTTTTTTAAAGCCTATAATTTGAAAAGTTCACGAATTAATTTTTTATATTTTACTGATAACTAATATTTCTTGCCTATCCCCCGTTTCCGGTTTGACGTCGACTTCTGGGACACCCTGTATATCTTATAAAAAAAAGATACTGAATTTTTGAACTGTTGTTAGTCCAAGATGATGCGGCTTATCTTTGTTTTTGCGCTAGTGTGTTGGAACAGACGAATTAAAAAAATATGCATTAAAATAATAATAACAATAATCCGACTTTATTTAAAGGCGAAAAGACAA